ACGAAGGGTCGTACGGGTACGGCGACATGACGTCAGAGCTAGAGCTCTGCGTGGAGCGCATCAGGGACTTGAGGGCGGAGCTGGAGTTCGAGCGGCGCATGCAGCGCAAGGCGGAGGCGCTGGCGGCGGAGCTGGCCGACTAGAGGCGGTGGGGCGAGGCCGCGGAGGCCGAGTGTCGGGCGCTGCGGGAGGCTGGCGCCGCGCGCGCGGCGCTGGAGGGCGTCGAGGAGGAGCGGCGGATGCTGCGCGTCGGCCGAGCTCTGGCGCGAGGAGCGGGTGCAGATGAAGCTGGCCGACGCCAGGGCGGCGATGGAGGAGAAGATGCGGGAGATCGAGAACGCCGTGGCGTCGACGACGAGTCAGCACGGGCAACAGAGCCCGAGCTGGAGTCAGCCGCACCCTCGGTGTCGGACCGAACAAACGGGAGGGCATAGAGATATCCCAATAAGCCAGGGGCAGTTTGGTCATTTTAGATGACGGGAGAGATGAAAAGATTAAAAGAATAGTAAAAACTATAGAAAATGTTCAAAAGACTCTAACGGTACACTTTCAGCTTATTTTAGTTTATTCTCTTCCATATAATACTATTCAATTGTCCAAAAATCCAAAAATCACTGTACAATACCCAGCCGAACACAGCCTAACTGAGTCTTAAATCCTGCGAGGCTGAGTGCTAGATATTGAAATTTCTCCGCGCGCAGTAGCCATCTCCTCGAATCCGATGGCCGTCGGCGACAGCGCCACCGCCACTCCGGCGGTGGCCAAGCTCTCCATCTCCGGCGCGGCCCTGGCCGCGCTCCTACACCGCTGCGCGGCCGCCGCCGGCGACTGCGACGGCCTCCTCTTCGGCCGCGCCGCGCACCTGCCCGCGCCGCCGGCCGCCCTCTCCGACTACGACGACGCCGCGGCGGCGGCCCCTCCCACCCCCGCGCTCTCCATCTCCGTCTCAGGCCACTGCTCCCTCTCCCAGCCCTCCTCCCTCTCCGACTCCCTCGGCCGCTTCCATCCCCCCTCCTCATCCTCCCCCATCATCGGCTTCTTCTCCTCCCGCCGCCGCACCGCGCTCCGCCCCTCCATGCGCGAGGCCGCGCTCGCCCACTCTCTCTCCGAAACCCTATCCGCCGCCCATCCGCTCCTCCTCATCCTCGTCTCCCCCTCCGCCTCCCCCAACCACTCCACCCACTCCTACGACTACCGCGCCTTCCTCCTCCTCGCCGGCCGCCTCGTCCCGGCCTCGCTCGCCGTCGTCAACGTCGGGCCCGGATTCCGGGACCAGTACCACGCCTTCACCGCCGAGTCGCCTATGCCCTGGCTGCCGTCGGCTCTGGCGCCTGGGCACGCTCACACCATCGGGGAGCAGAAGCCGGTGGATGAAATGGTGGACGGGTTTGGGGTCGCGAGGCTGCAGGGGGTCCTCGGCGCTGCGGCGGGGCTGGCGGCCGAGATGGATGAGATGTACGCAGGGATGCTCAGGAAGCTGGAGAAGCTCGCCAGGGAGGTGGAGAAGAGCAATCTCCGTGTGCTCGAGCAGGTCTGGTTTTCCAATCCTGTGATTTCCGTCTGCACTATTGATGTTCATCATAGCTTTCGATTCAACATGCACAACTGTGCTTCTGTGTGATCGATTGGCTTAATAATTGGTTAAACTGCCTAGTGCTAGAATTGTCCATTGTTAGATAGAGAGACTGAATTTGTAGCAGTTGCATTGTGGATATTTTGTCAACACTCAACATGGGAAACTTAGATAAGCCTTGCATAGCGGGATAGGGGGGCAGCTAAACTGCCTAGTGCTAGAACTGTCTTGTAACATTAGATTCGACCATTTAACAGAATGCAGCTATTTTGGTTCCACTCAGCATTCACCATAGGCTGCCTTAATTCTCCCATGCACTTCTTGTTTTGAACCAAGCTGCATGCATTAGTATAGAACTATCCGGTAACGGGATAAGAGGCACTTGTACAGTTGCAGTATCTATTAGATAGCTCTTCATTTTTTAAGTGAAAACTGTTAGAATTTTGATGATCTACAAAGCCAAAACAGTTGGGTATAGCAGGTCTGCAACTATTGTACTATTGATTAATTGTATTTGGCAAGAGACGTTACCAACTAAAAAGTTGGTGAGGATGGGAGGAGAGGAACCAAGAATATCAGTTCCAACATGCCATTAATGGATGACACAAAATGGTGTTTCGAATTCCTTAGTTGCTTAGGCCTGTTTGAACATTATTACAACAGTTGGATAGCGACTATAATCTATATTTACAGTTGACTAAAGCCCTAAATTGGCATTTCATACTGATTGCTTCCGTTTAACAGTTACCTGAATATTCAAGGCAGATTGCATGAACTCTTCTGTGCCTTCCTTGTTTCAAACCAATCACGTGCATTGTAATGGAAGTTTCTGGTAACAAGATAAGGAACACTACCTATTAGTCAACTCCTGTATTTTTTTCCCTTTTGGTGAGGAATAACTCTTGGAATCTTGGTAGTTTATTAAGTCATATCAAATGGGCACTGGGGGCTTGTAATTGCTTTATTATTGATTGAAAGGGGGAAAGCAAATCTCAATTCTAGTATGCCCAACATGAATGATGCAAAATGCAGCAGCGCCAGCCCACCTGTGGACTGTGGTGTAGAGATCATCTGATAGGGCTTACCGTCCTAGAGGGACTTCCATTGTTGGAAAATGGGATGATGGCTTATGTCGGGAAACACCATAAAAATGTTTGGTGAGGTTGTGGTGATTGGGGTTTTGCAAAAACAACTCTTGTGAAGTTTTAGGTTTTCTGCTTTTCTTCATGACAAACAAATGCAGTAGATGGTGAGTTGAAGAACAGAGATCGATGGAAATGATAAAGGCCCATCTATATAGTTTCAGACTTGTACTTGTTTCTATTTGGTTGGTTTGCTACATATGAGGAGCATTGTTTCCATTTTGTGATTTGGTACCCTGTAAAAATTACACCATGAGCTGGGGCTTCTTAGGGCCTATCTGTCAGCTGCTAAATTCCTGAACTACCATAAGTGCTTGCTCTCTGTTATACTTTGTTATTAAAATGACTTGGTCTGAAAACTGAAAAGATTAATCCTTTGCTGCATAAAAAAGTTGGAGCCCTTATCCTCTGATCAGTTTTTTATTTATGCCCCCCTTCCCCAGTTATTATTGAGTGAATAATGGACATCTGCTCATCAGTTATATGTCTTTTGATTCCATTCTTGAATTGCTTTCTGAAGTCAACTCCCTTATCTTTTGTTCTTGTTATTTTGTATGTAGGAGAAGAGGAACCTGCTGCTGAGGTATAAATATGCGGGAATGGAATAGGACCAAAGTGTTTTTGGTCTTAGCAATTTGTGTATGCTGATGACTGAGTTAAAGGGGTTTTTTATCAAACCTTTTCTTAGTGTGTCATGCGGATTTGTAATGACCTGAATGTTCATTAGTAGTTCCAAGTCATGCTCCTGTTTTGATAATATTATTTTTCATGTGCCATGTATTGTTTTGTTACTAACTGCTATTATTAGTCTGAAGATGTCTGTACCTAGGGATGAAAACGAATAGGATAAATCCCGTAACATCCCATACTGTTTACCGCTTTTATCCGGACCATTTTCGTATTTGCGGGAAAATGCAGTAACGGGATGGGAGAGGATGTTTCCCGCCTGTTTCTAGCCGTTTTCATCCTTATCTGTACCATATCTTTTTTGAATTTTGACAGAAAATGGTTGGAACACTGCCCTTCTTATAAGACAATGGATAATAATTACCTGGACACATAGTCTGGTAGAGTATCCTGTTGGAAAGTTATGTTAATAAACAGTTATTGGGACTGATTCAGGTTAAGGTTCTTAGGAACAGCATGAACCATGCAGTCCAAAAAGCTGCAGTTTACTGCTCTCCTAGTACAGTAGCCAGTGCATGTCGATCTCTCCATTTGCACGCCAGGATACCTGGTGCTGATCAAGACACCCTTCTTGAAAAACATCTGTCGATTTTGCTCCTTGCACATGTTCCACCATATATAAAGAATGGACTGCTTTCAGTTTCCAGTGATCCCTGGGCTTCTCCACCTTAGGCTTCTTACTAAAACCATTACGCTGCTGCACCTGTGGCCTGTGCTGGACTTAGTGTGTTGCCGTTTGTTCATCAATTCCTGCACAAAGCTGCACTTTTGATAGCAGGGGCATTGAAACTCCAACCTTATGGAGCCTTCATTACCATATTTTTAGCTGACTAAACAGTCTAAACTGCACTGCCTATCTACCTCGCATAGATGAGTTGTGAGATACTGACTACTGTTTTAAGATTTTCTTTCTCTTTTTTGCTTGTGTTGTGGAGTTCGTGCTGTGTTTGTAATTTCCCCTGGATCCGTTACTGCTATTTGTGGCCTTGTGTTAGTGGTGAATTATGGAAAGCATTGTTGTGCCTCTTATCATTTGGTAGATGATGGTTGTTTCAGGTTTGCAGAATTGCAGGGGGTACTCTGGTATAAAATCTATCATCGTATCGGAGGGCTCCCATATTAAGAGTTGATAATAATGTGCATAGGATGAGACTGATAGGGGGATCGATCATTAAGAACGGTGTGAAAGTGCGTGTAGCAGTGATGTAAGATGGTGCGAAACCATTCCATTGAACCAGCCCACATGATGCTCAAGGGGTGTTCAAATTTCTGAATGTAATAGCCTATTAGCTTTCAGTCTTGTTTCACAGGTCGTGCATGCTCAACTTGTATTTATATGCATCGGCACTAACAACACAATATTGGACACTCTGAATGCTAGCTGTCCACAAGTGGCCAGAAGTCTACCAAATAGTACAGTGCAGGCTTTGTATTGAGAAACAAATCTTTTCTAGCATAAATTAAGGGTCCTCTCACACGGAATAAAACTGAAGCAAACTTCCTACTGCAGTACACCATGGAGGGTAGGATTCTGAGCACAGAAGAAAAAACGCATCATTCACATAAACTTAACAGAAGTGAATAACAAGGTCTTCTCACTAAATGAAATCCCAATCACGCTCTTCTTCGTCACTATCCTCTGGATAAAGAATAGTGTTGTGCCCAGCAATGAAGCTACCGCAATTAGGATGTATAAGATCTTTTGCCCGAAATTGACACCCTTTGCAGCGAGCTTAAAAAACAGACATGAAAAATAAACATATAATGTTAGAGCATATATAGTGTCCTAATATAGAATATTGAAGGAGATGTGAAGATGAGCAAATGTGAAGGTACGTACCTTGGTCATTCTTTTTTGATGGATTGCAGTCATCCTCCCCCAAAGGCTTGCAGAGATACACATCTTTCTCGTCTCTGAGATTATGATGCACTTCAGCAAAAAACATTGTATGTTTACCATCGAGCCCTTTCACTAAAAAGTTGAGATGCAAATATCCTTTACAAAATTCACCAATAATGTTTCTATGTTTCACTTCCACGAATTCAAGATCGGTAGGCTGCAATGTAATAATAATATAAAAATGATGTTAATATAACAGGTCCACTTCAAATAAATGTTAAAATGCGTTTCAGCTAGGGAGCTAGCTTAAATAATGAGCTAAATCAATGGTCTGACCTACAAAAGGATAAAAATAAACCGCATGTCAATTTTCTGAAAACTGAATAAGAATAGTAGTAGAATACCTAACTACTATGAGTTAGTTTCATCCATTCTGAAACACATAAGTATAGCAATTATATTAAATAACATAGTAGCATAGTCGATGAAGAATAACCAGAACACTGATGAAAAGTAGTATGGGTTGGTTTAGATATTAGTAACTATAGTAAAAACTACTACTACATGCCCATTCTTTTTTTTTGAGAACTTTCGGGGGGATTAAGCGATCCCCGCCTACTTTTTCATTCCATAGATACCCGAGGGGGGACCCCCGGTTGGTGGAAAGGCATGGCGCCAATCCAAAACAAACAAACACATAGAGGTACAACGGGGGAGAGAGAGAGATTACAACGACAACACACAGCAATACCAGCAACATTCTAGCAGGAGAAAGGAGAGATGAAATGATAACCCTAGGGTAAGCCTAGACGGCAGTCGTAAATCGCTAACTGAATCGCCGATTTGCACCACCACCGAGCAACATACTCGCCGTTTTCACCGAAGCCTTTGTGCCCCGCACCACTCCTCGTAGCTACGCCACTCCGCTGCTGCCCTCCACCTTAGAAGCGAAATGTGGAATGGGAACGAACAGTGGAATGGGGACTAGGAGCGGTGATGAACACGCAAGCCCAAGATCACCGGACACGACAACCTCCTTTATGCTGATGGTGACACCTCCAGCGCATCTGGGCCCACGTACCGCCATTCAACGCCGTCCACAGGGAGGAAGCCGTGAAGGGGAATGGCGGCAACGGTGGAATCTCCACCCGGCATATGATTTGTGGCACCATCAAGGAGAGTGTCGACGGAGCAGCAGAGGCAGACACTCATCGGAGCGACGGCAGCATCTACTAGCCAGGCCGGTCTTACTTTGGAGCTATGCACCGCCCAGACGACACAGCACGCAGCCCCGCCGCTAGCAAGCCCGCGGCCAAACTTCGCGCACCGCGTCGCTGTTGGACCCCTGCAGAGAACTCGGAGAGGAACGCGGCACATTGCCCCACCGCCGGCATGCCCGCGGCCGAACTGCGCGCCCCATCCCACTTCGCAGCAGGTCCTTGCCCAGATCTGGACGAGCCGGTGCTGCAGAGCCGAGCAACTAGGCGTGGAGGAGGAAGAGGGACGCCGCACTCTGGCTGCGCCACCTACGCCTCCATAGCCGCGACGCTTGGTGAAGAAGACCTGGGCGCTCCACCTGGCGGCCGCCGCATCTGCATTCGCCGCCCCCGGCAGCACCGGATCCGGGGTAGGGGACGCTGGATCCGGGTCCAGAGGAAGCGTTGGCCATGGGGCGACCTTGTCCCGCGCCTGCATGCCAAAGGCGCTGGACGGGAGGTCATCGACGCCACTGACAGGGCGGGGAGGAAGGGGAGCAACGCGCTACCCGCGCACGGCGTGGTGCGCCGCGAGCCGGCCGCCCCGCTCCCGGCATCCGCTCCCGTCCGACCGGCGCGCTCCGGACTGGTCCCAGGACGAGCCACACGCGTCTCTGCTGGCCGGTCCGCTGCTCCATCGCGCCAACCGCCGAGTCGGACGCCCGCGACATCCTCGGCGCGCGCGTACGCCGCGGCACGCGTCCACGCCAGCACCACCCCCGCTTGCTCGCTGCGCACCGGATCCGGGGCGGGGCCCGACGGATCTAGAGCTAGAGGGCTCGGATCTGGAGCGTGGGGGTCGCCGCCGGCCAACCTTAAAAAAAAAAATCAAACTCAACAATGGAGGAGGAGGGGATCGGAGGTGGAAGGGAGAGGATCTTGAAATCAAAATGGAATAGCAATATGCCGAACACGTACTACAATAGTATAAGAATAACCAGAACGCTAATTATTGATTGATGTGGGTGTGACCTGCATGTTATTTTGCTTGGTATAGACTTCCAATGCTATCACCGAGCTCTTACGATCATGTTCTTTTCTTTCCTCCTCACTAGGCTTAATCGAAGAAAAAGGGAAGTAGCTGTAGTCATGACTGAGAGCCTCAACACAAGCGTCATGAAGATCATGGACAGTAAATTCTGATTCCCTAGGAGTGGGGTCATTCCAACTCTCCAACCTTATGTCAAGACTGCATGAGAAAAAAATATAAAAATGAAATAACTATCAGTTTAAGCGCAGTATATAGCAGCAAAAAATGTTAAACGACATGATTATTGCGTGGGTGCATATACAATATAATATATAGGTTCGCGGTCCAACTACAGAGTCAAGCAACAAAATTGTAGTGATTAGAAGATGCTAGCTGTCATGTTTAATGCTATTGTTGCAGGCCAAGGAGTAAGTTCAACAGCCTGTTCAGGAGGCCGTATCGTATCGTGGATTATTTATTGCTGGCTGGTTTGGTGTGAGAGAAAAACACTGTTCCCGGCTGAAAATTTACGATCGTTTACGAGCAAGCGAACAGGCTGCAATTTGCCAGCTCCCTCAATTGGAGAGTTGAACCTCATCAGTTGAGTACAAACTTACTCGTATCAGTACAAATCGAGAGATCGCTGTAGTGATGCAACCTACATATACAGCTAATAAAGAATTTAAGCCCTGCAAATCAGATGTACATCATTTTTTTCCCTAGAAATTATTATGAAAATACTCGACATCAAGGATACACAGAGAGTGCAATTAGTGGAAGTCTATTATTCTATTATAAGAAATTTGATTGGGTGTGCGATGACAACAATTAGGTTAGGTCATACTCCCTCCGTGTCATAAAGAATTAATGTAACTATAGGTTGCGTATTAGTTAAAGTGGTTCAAGTTTGATTAAGTTTTTAGTAGATAATATTCACATTTATGGCTCCAAAATAATTTATTATGAGAATACATTTCGTAACTAATCTAGTGGTATTTATTTGATACCATAAGTATTGATACTTTTTTTAGCTCGATCTAATTGGTCAAAAATCGAAGATACTAAAACTGAATTTTTTTTCCAGGACGTAAGGAGTACATCCAAAAACAACCGAACAAGCATGACAACAATTTCGTGTAACGTAATACTTCCTCCTATTCTAAATTATAAAATTGTTTCGCTTTTGTCTTGAAATAATCGTTCCGATTTTTAGATACCTATATATATACTTTTTTTTATTATGTACGTGCTATGTGGCCCAAATCTTATACATAGAAAAGCCATAGCAAAATATAATTTAGAAGAGAGGAATGAAGTAACAAAGATAAGATAAGATGGTGGATGATACTGTATACGTACCCGCCGGAAAAGTCAGTAGGCCAAAGTTTTTTACTTTGCGGTCGCGGAACACCGTCCCAACGGTTTTTAACGAAATAACGAGGTACGCCGTCGTGTTGGGAGCTGCTCCTGCTCCTGCTGGGCGACGACATGCCGGCCGGGCAAAAAGGGAGTTCACGGCGTGGCAACGAGCGAGGGCTGCTGCTCTCGAATTCGGCGAATCGATCCGCCGCGGGAGCTGGGTTAAGGACTTAAGGTTATGGATCTGACGTCGAGAGGGCATTAAAATCCAGGCCAGAGCGCGGCCCGCTCCGCTCCGCCGAGTCCATGTCCGGGTCCGATTAGATTCGATCCGTTTGGGCCGTGCTTTACTGTACTTTTATTTCCTTCCTGGGTTGGGTATTTATATTTGGAAAAGTCCACGTTACATCATATGGGTGAGTCCTCAGGTGTATGGAGAGCATATTTTGTTTTAGTTGTTCTAGATTCAACTTTAATTTGACCGTGCCGCGCCTCTTGATATGGAGCTTGAAAAGAACAGCGGAAACCAGCATGGCAACAACCAACTCCAAGCGTTGGCAAAACAATCGCATGTAACTTTGTTGCTGCGTCGTCGTCTGCTGCGTGGGCAAACCGCAAGCTGCTCAATAGTTGAGTGCTCCGGCTTCTCCTCCGTCGACCTGAGCTCCAGCCCAGAATGTAATGGCTGCCGTCCGCGGAGGAGAATCCGGCGAACATCGGCGTGGTTGGCATATAAACGGCGAATCTATCAGGAAGCGTGGTCTGCTCTGCTGGGTTTGGTCGCCGGGCAACCCTGACAGCGACCATGGCTTGCCTGCTGTCAAACTACAACCACACCTTACGTAGGCTATCCACTGGTGAAGCTCAGCCATGGAACGCACCGTCGTCGTTAGAGGTGTAGAAGCCTGCGGTAGTGGAGCCAAAGGCGTCAGGGATGTTCATGTCGATCCCTATTCGGCTGTCGTGTTTGGACACCTCGTCCCGGATCTGCTGTGTTGTCAGTTGTCACCAGAACGGTAGAGAGCCGGCAGGAAGCCTTGTTTAGTTCGAAACTTTGGAGGCGTCAAAAAAAAAAAAATACTGTAGCATTTTTGTTTGTATTTGTTAATTATTATCCAATCATTGACTAATTAGGCTCAAAAGATTCGTCTCGCAAATTATAAGTAAACTGTGTAATTAGGTTTTTTTTTACCTACATTCAATACTCCATGCATGTGTTCAAAGTTTCGATGTGACAGAGATGTGACAAGCAGGAATCTTGTACACTTTTTGGATTTTAGAGGGAACTAAACAAGGACCAGGATACGCTAGTATGGAGTATACTCGTATGTACTCTCTCTATGTCTCTTTTTAATTGTCGTCGTTGGTATGCGTACCATAAGTTTAACTTAATTTGTAGAAAATACGTGTAATATTTGTATCCCCAAATAAATTTATTAAAAAACTAGATTCAAAGATTTTTCCAATAATATTAATTATGTATTATAAATATTAATAATTTTTTAAAATATATTTAATTGAAGTTATTTCTTCGAAAGCGTGAGCAACGGTTATTAAGGGACGAAAGGAGTACGGGGCTTCGGGCCGATAGGCATATCAGCTGCAGGAGAGCCGATAGGACCCGTCGGCAGTCCGTCTGTGGCCGCTCTTGCCGGACAATATGTCTGCAGCGGCAAAGAAAAGCTATGGACAACATGCGACTGGTGTCAGCCTGCAGGTGGCCAGTGTGCACTCCACCGCGTGGATTGGTGCCGGGTGCCTGTGCCTTCAGGACCGCTCGGATTGGCATTGCTAGCTTGTGCTGCCTTGCAATTCTAGCACAGTATCATGATTTAGTATCTTAAGTTTGATTAATTATATATAGAAAAAACTATCAATATGTATGTTACCAAATAAATATCATTAGATTCATCATGAAGTGTAGTTTTTTAATAAATTAATTTGAAGTCGTAGATATGAATAGTACTCAGTAGAAATTTGGTTAAACATATTCTATTTTTGACGGCATGCAACCCATAGTTGCATGTTTTCTGGGACGAAGGAAATATATTCAGCAAGGTTAGTCATTGCTAATTTCGTTCTTCCCACTTTTTTCTGTTCCTTTTTTAGCGTCCTGAATTTCTTAGCAAGAGTGTAAGCTTGTATTGTTTTTTCCACATCTATTTTGGTCATGTTTGGTTCCCACGACTAAAACTAGAGTGGACTAAACTTTAGTCACTTTAGGGACTAAAGTGCCAAACAGGCTGACTAAAAGGTAACTAAAACACTTTAGTTCTTCTAGTCTCTTAAGAGGTACTAACGGTGACTAAAATATTTTAGTCCACTTTAGTTTAGAAATGGAGAACTAAACGGGCCCTTTAACGCAAAGGGCGAGCACCTGGTACCAATTCACACTTGTATACACATAATAACAAGTTGATTGCACTCATGATACCAATTCACATTTTAAATTTTAGTTTAGAGAAGAAGAGCATGCCTCTGTTTTCTATCCTTTATTGTAGGTTTTTTTTTGGCACAAAACTGCTTTGTCTGAAATACAGTACCTTTTAGTACATATACCCTGCCACAGTAGTTTCTATGACTCAGAGTCCACAGGAACTATCACACATGCACGACTTCTATGCACACCTTTACGGAATTTGTACTCGAAATCGCTTCATACCATCTCCCTAGAAGTTTATTTAAATTTAATGTACGTCTGACCGCCACCATGCAGAGACGCCTCATTGTATTTTTTGCACAAACAACAATTGATAGGAAGATTAGGATTCCATGGCTTGAAGATCACGGCGGTGAGGCAACGGTGTGGTGTGCACGGAGTGCAATGCAATGGAGTGGTGGTGTAGAGCCAAATTTAGCAACTGGTGTTCCAATCTCTGCAAGCAAAGTATCATACTATATGTGAATCATCCCGTTGGGGTCAGCGCTTACGATGAGCCTCTATCTGGGACACTACTTTGTTAGCGGTGGATTAGATGCAGTGCTGACATTCCAACCACGCCGAGCATTACACTCAAAGCAACAATGTAGTGGCACGGTGGGAGTGCACACTTCAGAAGGTTCAGAGAGAGGACGTCGTATCATGCATAGGCGAGCTAGAGGTAATAGTAGTGGTGTTTGAGAAGAGATCGACGAGGTGGACGAGACAAACCACAACTGCCATGAATATTTACACATTAAATAAAAATTGACATTTTCACATAAATTTTTTTTTACACCTAAATCTTTAATCAAATAAAAATTAGTATATATTTTTTATTAACCCGTTGCAACGCACCATCAATTTTGCTAGTAAAGTTATAATTTTAAAAAATATAAATATATTCATAATGGATCTCAAAGTTGCGCGCAAAAATTTCAATAATCTAGTGGTGGAAATCGTTTCTAAATTCGATGATGATCGCTTTATCCTGTTTGCTTTTCCTCGTTGATCTTCTAGCAAGCCCATGCCTTCTCTGGGCCCAAGAACTGGCCATATACCTCTTGACGGGCCCAACCTTGTAGTATTTATATTTATTTCTAATATTTTCTAACAGGTTAACAAACACAGCAGGCCACACAGGGAGCAGTCAGCAGTGGCTGCCGGCGCCGCCGCGGCGGGCACGGGCAGGGCAGCCGCCACTACAAGCTGCAGCCAGGAGCGCGCTAGGCATCAGCGGCAGGCGGCGGTGGCAGGGGCGTCGGGACCGGGCAAAGGGCGGACGGCGGAGGTCGGAGGGCGCCAGCAGTCCATCACGAACACACTGCCATTCTGTAAGTTCAAATTCAGATTCAATTTGTTAAGGATAGACTGAACATCATCAACAGTTTCACTTTTCAAAGCACGAAGGATTGGAAAGTTGTCTTATAAAAGCTTTATTGTCATTTTCTTGGTCACGGATATAGGATTTTGGGAACCTATCGCTTTCAGGTGGGAGCCGCATTCTCCGTATGCACAAATTAAATATCGTATATGTTGTCAACACGCTTTGAATTGGGATGGGGGGCCCGCAAATGCTGACATAAGGAAGATAAACTTCATATTCTTAAACTTTGTATAAACGTTCTCTACATTCTCCTTAAAACCCAAAAATCTTTATTGACTGATCAAACTTCAAGTACCACTGTCTTAAAGCTTACTTTAATCCATAAATGGATTTCTTTAGGCGGCATCACATTCGTTCTTTTCATTCCATGACAAAATCTTTCGGTTGTGCCACGTAAACATTTTCCTCCAAGTCTTCGTTGAGAAATGCCGTCTTTACGTCCATCTGATGTAATTCTCAATCGTAATGTGCCACTAATACCATTACGATTCTGAAGTAAACTTTACATAAAACTGGAGAAAATGTCTCATTGTAATCAATCCCTTCTCTTTGCATAAAGTCTTTTGCCACAAGTCACACTTTATATGTTTCTATATTCCTTTGAGAGTCAAGTTTTATTCTGTAAACCCATTTATATCCTACTGTTTTGGCTCCTTTAGAAATTATTTCCAGGTCCCAAACTTCATTGGCATTCATTGATTTCATTTCATCTTCCATGGCCTCAAGCCACTTTGATGAATGATCACTTCTCATGGCTTCTTCAAATAAGGTGAGATCATCCTTCATTTGAAATTCCTCAGTGTTGTACACTTCATAATCAGCAGGAATAGCTGATTTACTAACTCTTTGAGATCTTCTAGGGGCCTCTACATTTGGTACATCTTCTGTTTGAGGCTGTTGTTGGTCCCCTTCATGTGTGGCAATAGGTTCTATAGGATCCTGAAGAATATGTTTCTCATTTTCATTCATTATTGTCACAGGTGAAATAACAACAGGTGCTGACACCATAGTATCTTGCACTGTCGGTGCAGCGACAGCATGTAGTGAGAAAATTGGCTCATCAATCATTGGAGTGAGCGTATACACCCGCTTCACTTCAAGGTCAATTTCTCGAGCTACCATGCTCCCCCTTATCTTTTCATCCTCTAGGAAAATAGTATATCTTGTTTCCACAAACTTTGTATGTCTCTCTGGACAATAGAAACAAAAACCTTTTGACTTTTGTATGTAGCCAAACAAATGGCAACTTATTGTTTTGGGATATAACTTTCCCAATGTCTGGGTTAAATACTTTAGCCTCAGCAGGACTCCTCCACACACTCAAG